GCGCGCGCCCTGGCGCAGTGCCCCGGGCCCTGCCCGCCTTAGCGCCGCTGCGCACACCACCCCGGAGAAGCACGGAGCGTCGTGCCCATTTCACCGCTGGGAAAACCGAGGCTCAGAGATGATCCGTGATTTGCCAGGAAGATGCGCACGTAGTGAAGGGCCAAACTGGGATTCCAACCCAGGACTTCCTGGCCCCTGGGAGTCTGGTGAAGTCCCAGTGACACAGTCCCGCCCCCCGCCGCCGGGGACTTGATTCCCTGCCAGTGGCTTCTACCTGCAGAGAGTGGACGAGAGAGGAGAGGGCAACGACACCCGGCCCGATCCCGGGTGCTCCCCCGACGTCGAACCGGAAACTTTCCTCCTTGGTTGACTTAAATATACAAAAATAAAACTAGTTCCGGCTTCCGAGAAGCTCTGGGGTCTTTGTGGCATTAGGAGGCCTGCTCTTGGTTTTTGCTTTTCTTTTCTTCACTCGGGAATTAAGTCCCTGGCGGGGTGAGGGGTGCACAGGGGACCAGACCCGGGGCTTCCAAGCCCACGTCCAGAGATCTCGGACGTGTCGCTGGTGAGGCAGCGTCCCCCACCTTAGAATGAAGGGCGACTGCAGTTCTCTCAAGGACACAAATGTGGTGACTGACGGCAGACTCAAGCATCCCCTCTTCCAGTCCACTGCGGGGCCAGGCACTGTTCCCAGTGCTTTACATTAACTCCTTTAATCCTCACAACTGTCACCCTCAATGGGTACTGTTATCATCTCCATTTTACAGATGAGGAAACTGAGGCACAGAAAGATTAAATGATTTACTCCGTTCACACTCCCAGAAAGAGGCAAAGGGAGGATTTGGACCCAGGCTTTCTAGCTCCATTCGGCTCCATGCCTCCGGACTTCGTCGTGGAGGACCCAACCCATGGCTTCTCCCTCCTCCCAGCTCCATGACCTGGCACGCGTGTGTTTCTCTACCGAATGGGAAGGCAGATCAAGGTTACAAATGCTTAAGTGAACGTCTCCACGCAGACTCTTGGGTGCTATCCCCACCCTCTTTGTACCCCTTCTTCGTGAGGAATCCAGCCTTGACATGTCCTAGGCCCTCTCTATCTAAGAAAAGTTGGAAGTAATCTATATTAGTCTACACATAGTTGTCTGGGAGGTTAGATTCTGAGCTCCTCAGTTTCCCCATCTGGAAAATCTACTTCATGGCGTCTACCTCACAGGGCTGTTATGAGAATTAAATCAGATGATATGCGTGAACCTCTTAGCCAACTGCTCCATCACAACAGATGCTTATTAACTGCCAGTTCCCTTCTCCCCACCCATCAATAAGGTTTATTCATCCTTTATCCTCAGTGTTTAGCCTAATGACTGGTATATAGCTGGTGCTCAGTTAATGTTAGTTTATTCAATGGATGTATAAAACAAAAGATTATATATACATATATATGAAATATATAATTAAAAATAAAACATATAAAATGAGATACAAAATATATAAATGTTCTAGATACATTCAACCATTTACAAAAGCAAAAACATTAGATCTGCTTCAGAGTTGGTAGAGCAAAAGGTTAAGAGCATCGGCTCTATCTAGATCAGACTGCCTGGGGGCAAATCCTGGCTGTGCTGTGTGGTCTTGAGTGATTTACTTAACTTCTCTGTGTCTCAGGCTCCTCATCTGTAAATGGAGATAACACCTTCCTCACAGGGTCCTTGTCAGGAGTGACTACGTAGCGCATTCAGAGCAATGCATGGCACACAGTCTGTGCTTGCTATTATTATTAAGGCTACCTGATACACTTGAGCAATTCACATGAAGTCATTTAAATGAGACACTAGGTCACGGGGGACGCTTCTCACAGGGTCATCTCAGAAGGCCCAGGCAAAGCAGCATCCTCTCCCCCCCTCCTCAGGCTGACACGTCTTGGACCATCATGGGGTGTGTATGCCTGCCTCGGGGTCTACCTGTCTCTCAAGACCTGGGGTGAGTGGAGCATCACACTGCTGTGTGCCCTCCTCTGGAGGTTCTCTGTGTAAAATAAACCCCAAACACCCTCCCATCTGGAGAGTCTACCATCTAGAGATGAGGCCATGTAACTTTTTAATGGCTGGAAAAGTTTGCAAAGTGCCTTCCTGTACTTTGGCGTTCACTACTTTTCATAAGTGAGGAAGCTGGAGATCAGAAAAGGTGATTTCAGGGGTGGTGGAGGTACAGGGTTGCCCCTACTCACGAAAAGGGTCCGCTGGGGGCTGTGTCTACACAATCCCAAGCACCTGGATAAAAGGTCAGCTGTCAGTCATTTGGATGTCTCCTCAGCCAAAGAAGTCTGTCTGAATATTTGGGAAGTGCTGTGGTGGAGATAGCTGGCAACAGTCCCCTGAAGAGTATCTCCAGGCAGGGCCTCTGACCTGCTGAGAATCTATGATGCCTCAGAGGACCCCATGTCTGGCATTCTGGGCTCCTGCTGTCCACACAGGAAGTTGTTTAAAAAACAGAAGAGCTAGATTAATAACTAGCACTGCTCCAGGATGGTAGGGCCACCAGAAAGCAGATTTATTTTAAGAACTGAATGTCCTCAGTTTCAGAATTTGCAGAACCAAGTTTAGAACATAATGTGCTGCAGGTAGAAGCCCATTCCCTGAGCCTGAATCCTGAGACCTCAGGATTACTATTCTGTACCTCTGTGATTACTAGCCTGTGTGTCACCCTGTCCTGTCTACCTGCCATTTGTTTTATGGGAATAACGTTTTAAAATGTAATCACTATCGGGGGTTACAATGGGACCAGGAGGATGAATATTGCCTTTCCTCTTCAGTTGAATAAAATGTAAATGTCATCTTTCCTCCCTTTGATATGTATTTTTTTAATGTGTTGATAATTGGGGATTTCCTATTGGGCTATTGGGGAAGAGTGCTTTACTGCTTTTGACCAGGTGGAGGCTCCACTCAGCCGCACTACTGAGCACTGCTTTGCAAATCCTCTGAGATAGGACTAATAATTCCTAGGGCTTCAGCCATGCTGTGGGCATTTTTGCTGCTAGATCTGAAGCCTGTGCATAGCCTGTTGAGGACTGATTTGTGTACTTTGAAAAATGCCAGAATTTGTGTCCTGTCCCTAGCCCTTGCTGAAGGCTTAGGCCCAAGGAGCACTTTTCCCTGAGCTTAATTTTGCTCGCTACTGGGGCCCTGTCTGGTTGGATCTTGAATAGAGCTGTTCCTAGGGACAGCTGGCACAGGACCTCTGGAAAGGTGCTCCCAGGCTATTTATTTCTCAGAGTCCCTTTTAGCTTGGTTGCTTGCCAAGCAGACTAGTAGAAGACAGAAGAAAAAAGCATTAGCGCTAAAAAATAATAATAGCTAAAACATTCATTGAGCACTTCCTGTGCACCATACTGTTTTAAACACTTTATCAAATGAACTCATTTGATCCTCACAAAACCCTGTGAGATAGATGCTGTTTTTCCTCTTTTACAGATGGGAATACAGATCTCTTGAGAGAGGCAAGATCTGTTGGCATACCATCACCTAACAACATAACTAGGATTTGAACTTAGGCGATCAGAGACCAGAGTCCACACCCTAAACCCGCATGGTCTGCTGGCCCACCTAGCCCAGGTGTGCTGAAAATGTTTGTGTGTAAACTGATTCTACGGCAACTCGTCTGTCACAGGACCCTCACCTTAGATATCGTTGTAAGACAGGTAACTACTTAAATTTTTAAAAAGTGGCACTTACAATTTCTGCACATATTGAACAGTAGCTGAACTGCTGAGATTTCTTGAAAACCGATCTCAGAGCCCTTTGTTTGAAACATTTGTCACAGGAGCCAAATACATTAACTAGAAAGGTCTGATCACACATCTTTTACCCAAGATGAAGCTGCAAGAGAAAGGGAGAGAGAAAAAAAAGGTATGTGTGAGAGAGAAAAGCCAACAGAAACAGCTTTGTAAAACCTCATCTTCCTTTATCACGTAGTTACTCCAACTCATACATGTGGGATAAAGAATATATGGTTAATTTGTAACCTGTGATTTATTATAACATGCTGGGTCAACCCCAACTCACTTATTTAATCAGTAAGAAAGAGTCAGACAGTAGGTTTTCTGAACTCATGTTTAACCGGTTTTTGGCAGCTTGCAGACTCGGTCACAATTGATCTTTGCAGCACAATATTAATCCCGTGGGGCTTCACAGTGGAAAGTGTCATTGTAATGGATACTATAATTTAAAACTTAAAAAAAAAAATTCCTCCTCTCAGGGTGAATTTTGGAGTAAAAACAAGAGCCAGAAAATAGTGGAGCCTGACCCCGACCAATGCCACGAGGCTGGGTAAATGTGGTGTTGGTTCCCTGCAAGGAACGCATCCCATTTATTAAACATTTGACAGCCATACACCCAGAGTCCCTGCCTGTCCACCCAGAAGTCAACAGACAGGCCCAGGCCACAGAAGGGAGCGCAAACTTGAGGAAGCAAAACCATCTAGTGGAGAAGGGTACTGGCTCTGGCTGACTGGGTCCGGGTCCCGCTGCTTAGGCAGGTTACTTGACCTCTTTGAATCTTTGTTTGCTAATCTATCAAATGAGGAGCTTAAAACCCACCATCATAGGGTTGTCAGGCGAATTATGAGAGAGAGTGCGTAGAGCACTTAGGTCAAGGCCGGAATATACTGAATGCTCCATAGATGTTATGCTGCCCTGTGAGTGGCTGCCACAGCAGCAGCAGGACGGAGGGGAGGGAAGGAGGATGAGGCCAGAGATGCAGAAAGAGCAGAGAAGAGCCTATGGCCACAGGTCAGGCAAGACACAATGAAGGCCTGAACTAAAGCAAAGCTGTG